TTACCCACGAAAGCTTATGCTCCCAATACTTCTGTTAGTCTTAAAGGTGCCACAGGACCCTCTGTTGCTTTTTACAGATTCAGACTAACACGGCTACCCCTCTGATACTTGATTTTTTTATTGGAACCATTTCTATTTTCTCACTAATTACAGTGACAACAGCCAATGAGTAGAGAACAGATTACTGAACTCCTATTAAATCTGGCCATGGCATGCTTCATTTCTTCTTCCAAGCATATTAATTTAGCCAAAATTAAGAATATTAACGAATTTTTTTGACTGGCTGCTCTCACAAACTGATCTTGTCAACCACACATTAAATAGACACTTCAGTATTTCAAAACAGTTTTTTTTAATAATTCAGCTAAAACAAAGTCCCAGTAGAACACATGGCTGGGATACAGCTATAACCTAATAACTCCAGCTATGGATAATAATAGTTACTTAAAATCAGTTTAATGATTTAGATGGGAAATATTAAAGATTAACATGCCTCATTCTTATACATTCAGGGTTTTAACTAATTTCAGCACATTAAAATTTTACAATATTTTCAATTATAATGAGATCTGTTTGTATGTCATCAACAAACCCATGTTTGATCCAAAATTTTCCTGGTTCTCGATCATTCTTGGACTCCCACCCATGATGTTTTGCTTTTGTAACATGGAGAATGCATTGACACTCCTCACTGGAGGGCTTGAACCCACAGGTATTGGGCTGTCTAAAGACATGGCTCTGTTGAAAGGAGGACGGGTAGTCTGCACAGATTGGGGACTTCTCAGACCTGTTAAAGAATTAAAAGATGCTTTCAACTGTACATCTTTAAACAAGAAATAGACTGCCCTACTGATGATTTATACAAGTTATATCTATTTTTGAGCAATTACACTACACATTTAACAAGCCATGAATGACTATTTTGTTTTAGGTGTTTGTCCCTGCAGATAAGCCAAACAAGTCCTTGGACCCTAGGTGTAATATGATCAAACATTTTAAATTACAATCTAGGATTCTTTGTCTAGGTGTTCTCCTGGCATATACTGTATTACAATTTCATGAGCACTGTGCATGCCTCTTGATATATTGGTGTTGGTCTTCAGTTCTTATTTTATCCATCATATAATCTCTCAAAACTTGGTGTGTGTCTGGAAAGTACTGTCCTTCCAAAGTAAGTGTGCAACTCACCTCTCTTAATAATCTTAACTGAAAGCAAGGTTCTATTCCTCACCCTTAGAAAGTTACAATTCTCTCAAGCATCTTAATCCTATTGGGCTCTCCAGCCTTATTCACTTTCAGGTTACACCTCTTTTGCTAACACACCCTCATCCTACTGTGAAATACCTGGAACCAACTTGCTCTATCAAAACCCATACTGGTTCCTACTCTTTGGTTTGCCCTTGATAATATATACCAGTTACATACATCAAAATGCACAAATTATTGCCTCAATGCAAACAAAGACCCACAAGGTCCGCCTCCAGTATGAAATTTGGTCATCTCCGACACTCCTCAGGAGAGCTTGAAAAACTTACTAGACATCTACTAGCCATAGGAGTAAACTTACTTGCCAGGAGATATCTGTTTTAAGCTTTTGTAATGTGCTTATCGCTATAGTATCTATGCACTAAGACAGATGTAGAACACAGCGATGGTGGTAATGATGGCATCTCACATGTAACATTAACCTTCCCTCCCACTCCCTCTACTGGTAGGGATGGCCAGCCCTTTAGAAATAAAAGTAGAAGTATTCATTAGATGGTGCAGGCCTAACGGTACCTGGGAGAGCAGTGGCAAATCAGAAGCTTGCCATTCATCCCTCAGCCTTTCCCTGGCCAGCTGCTAGGATTTAGTTACTTCTTTTAATCTGCAATTGCCCCAATTCATAACAATATATTTTCCCACTGTCTTTGGTGTGTGGATATCTAGAGTGCAACATTAGAGAAGTGCAAGGAAGACCATGAGATGGGAAGTGAAGAGAAGTTAACTTTACTCAACATTTGTAGGGCACACAAAGCTCTTGAGACTGCTCTTTGTAATGCTAGAGTCTGGACATGCCATTGGCAAGGCCCACAATTCAGATACACAGCTCCGTATCAATTTTTAAAATTTAGTAAAAATCAGATGCCGGCTGAAAAGGGATTTTCAATGTCCTCTGATATTTCATAATACTTCTTCACGCTAATTATATAAACACAATCAACCAATGGATAACTAGCCCTGCACATATCACTTATTCCTGTAGACTGATTTCTTAGCAAATCAGAAAC